AAAAATTACCGCGTACATAAAATGGGGGAAAAATCATAAGGGACATGTGTTCCGAGGACCGTTAGTGTCTAAGGTCAAGCCTAAGACCAACCTCAATTTAGGCCCAAGGTCTCGAGGAGCCTCACTTTGGGCCTAAGGTTCCGATGAGCCTTGCTTTAGACCCAAGATATAAAGGTAGTCCAATTGGTGGACTATAGTCCACCAAGCTAGTGGGCTGGGAAGGCCGGCGTCTGCATAGCAGAGCCGGTCCTAGCCTTTCCTAGGCCTTGGGCCAAATGTAACAAAAATGCCCCTCCTTTTTTGTTAAAAAAAAAAAATCCCTCCTTTTCGTTTCATACGATGAAATTTATGATATTTCAAAAATTACTTTGTTTATCCCATACATTGAGTAACTTTGGATAAATTAATAAAAATAATTGCCCCTCATTCCTGTTTATTTCAATGCAACAAGCTGAAAATAAATAAATAAGTTACAAGAAAATTTATATGAAAATTTATGTGTAAGTTGAATATTACGTTTATATACATCCTTATAATTTCGTGGAGAAAATTAACTCTTCTTTGTTTTAATGTAATTTTATTTAATAACAACTCATATTATTTTACAGTTTGTTACTTAATTAAATGATTTTTTATTCAATGAGTAGTAATTTTTTAGAATAAATAGATTATAATTTATAATACATAATCTATAAAGATACACAAAAATAAAAATTAATCTAATAGGAATAGATATAAAGATGGGTTGGTAAGTTCTCATCTATTTCATAAAGTTTGTTCATTTTAATTGTTAGGCATTTAATTTTTTTTGTTGCAATTAATGTTTGAGAAAAACCATATATTAATTTAAATGTTTTGGGATTCTTTGTAATTAGGCCCATCATGTATTGGGCCGGACACAATCATCATAATATCAAATTCATTATTTATTATTATTATTTGTATTATTAATTGGGCAAATAAAGGCCCCAAGAATTGTGCCCCCTTCAAATTGGGCCCTGGCCTAGGCCCTAGGCCGTCGCCCAGGTCGCCCTGGGCCAGGGCCAGCCCTGCTGCATAGGGAAGACCTAGGTCGTCCGACCTCTATAAAAGGATGACCAAAGGATGACTTAGGCCAAGGTAAGGCTACGCACTCTCTTCTACTCATACTCTACAGTTGCCACCCTAAACCTAAAACCGATTCTAACTTAGGCATTTGAGAATCTACCTCTGGGGACTACCCGGGGTCCTGTTTTGCAGGATTCAGAGCAAATGAGATGCACTAACTTCGGAGCATACATCGCTGTCACGTGTCATCGAACTAACGTCAAGTATTTCTTGTATCATTAATTAATTTTTAATTATTGACTTGAAAAAGTTTAAACTTGAGTTTATCATATTGAGAAATTGATATTGTTAATTGTTTTTTATATTGATATTAAAATTTATATAGATATTAAAATTTATATATAATACTACCTCCTGTTCATTATAAATGTCGTTTTGACTTTTGTGATTCATCCATTTTGTTATGTATCTAGACATATTAATGTCTAGATACATAACAAAATGGATGAATCAAAAAAGTTAAAACGACATTTATAATGAATAGGAGGGAGTATTACATACCTTCGGTAATACAAACCATATTACGAGTTAAATTCGGAAACAGTGGTTTTATGCCCTCCTTTGCATTCAAACGAGTTTCCCTCCTTTTTTTTTTTCTGAGTTTCTCTGTGTGCTTTCACAGTGCTCATGCAAATCAATGGAGCAAAAGCTGGCTGCCATCTTGTGCAAATGCTCAACAGCCAAACAACTGAAAGAGACCCATCTTCAAACCCTCATCAATGGCTTCAAAGACAGCAACTTTTTAGCGACCAAGCTCATGTCGCTCTCCACAGGCTCCATTTCCCTCGACTACGCATACAGGATTTTCCAAGGTTTGTCCTCTCCAAATCTCATCTCCCACAATACTCTGATCAAATGCTCTATAGGGAAATCCCATAAAATGGCAACAACCGCGTTCAACAATTTGCGGGAGCTGGGCATTGTCCCCAACAGCTTCACTTTCACTTTTTTGCTCTCGTGCTTTGAGTCCCTTCAAAAATCGGAATGTGGGCGGGTTGTGCACGGTCATGTTTTGAAGTTAGGATTTGCGTCCAGCTTGTTCGTCGCGAATGCCCTTTTGAACTATTATTCTAAATGTGGTGGGAGCAATTTGGGTTTCGTGCGTATGGTGTTTGATGAAATGCCTGAGAGAGATGTTGTCTCTTGGAACACGGTGGTCAGGGCTTGTATGAGTCATGGTGAGATGGATCTGGCTTTCGGATTATTTGAGTCCATGCCTGAGAAAAACTTAGTGACTTGGAACTCTGTTGTTTCGGGCCTCGCGAAAGTCGGGAACATGGAGAAAGCCAACAAGGTCTTCCTACGCATGCCTGAGAGGAATAGCGTCTCTTGGAATGCCATGTTATCGGGCTACATCAAATCCAACGATTTAAAAGGCGCGCGAGAACTTTTCGACTTGATGCCAGAGAAGAGTGTGGTTTCTTGGACAGCCATGGTTTCGGGCTATGCTTTATCGGGTGATCTTCAGTCGGCAAAAGCGGTATTCGCCATGATGCCAGTAAAAAATGTTGTATCATGGAACGCCATGATTTCCGGTTGCGTGAACATCCGCATGTTTGATGAAGCTCTTGCTTGTTTCCATCGCATGTTGACTGATGGCAAATGCAGGCCCGACCAGACCACACTGATCAGTACGCTCTCGGCTTGCACCCACCTGAACTCGCTTGTGCACGGGAAATGGGTCGAGTCGTACATCGCGAAAAATAATTTTGACCTTTCGGTTTCGTTGGGTAATGCATTGATCGATATGTTTGCAAAATGCGGGGATCTTGAAAATGCTAAAATCATATTTGACAAAATGACTGAGAAATGCGTGATCACTTGGACCACAATGATTTCGGGCCTGGCCGTGAATGGGCTCTGCTTGGAAGCCTTGAAACTCTTTGATAAAATGTGTTCGGAAGGTGTAAGGCCGGACAGTGTCGTGTTTATTGCGGCCCTTTCAGCTTGCACTCATGGGGGCCTGGTCGAGCAAGGGGAGAGGATATTTGATAAGATGGTGCACGAGTTTGGTATTGAACCGCGTATAGAGCACTATGGCTGCATGGTCGATATTCTCGGGCGGGCCGGGCGGATAGAGGAAGGTATTACGTTCATGGAGAGTATGCATTTGGAGCCGAATCCCGTTATTTGGGCAACTTTATTGTCCGCGTGCAGAATTCATGGCTATGAGGAATTATCGGAGGCCCTGATTGGGAAGATATTGGAGCAAGAGTCTGATAATCCTANNTTGAAGCTGATTACGAATTTGAGTGCCTCAGCTGGTCGAATACAAGATGCTTTGAACTTTCGTGTGGCGTCCAGAGATGAGCAGGCCGAGAAAGTGCCGGGCTGTAGCTCGATCCAAGTTAGGGACCGTGTTCATGAATTTGTTGCGAGGGATACAAGGCATTCCCAAATGAAGGAGGTGTACAGAGCTTTGAGGAGTTTAAATCGACATTTAAAGCCTTTACAGAGAGTCGGCATAGAATAAGGTGCGCCACTGATATTAAGTTTTGGATGCAAGTTAGAAAATGGAGGTTCTATTTCATATATATCTTTGAGGATTTTTTTTGAAAAAAAAAAAGAAAACAAAACAAAAGAAAGAAAGAACGAAATGATGTAATATTCTGAAAGAAAAGGAAAAAGTAGAAATTAGATGAAGCATCATTTTGAACATAAAAAGTTCTGTAACAGAACTTCTTGATATATTCCATGTCTATACAGTTACATAATTTTTTCATTTGTCATGATATAATTTATTGACCTGAGTTGGTCGATTCATGTAATTTTATTCGTATTTATGTGGCTATTTATTCTTCTACGAGTAAATAAATTGCACAAATAGATGAGGCTCGTGATTATTATGCTTCAAACATTGGCTGGCAATAGGTTGCAAAATGAAAAATTATCAGAGTTTGAGGAGTTACAGAGAAACATAGCTCGAAAGCGTCACTAAAGCTATGTTTGGTAAAACTAGCTGATAAGCTAGCTGATAGCAGATAAGCTAGCTTATCAGTAATTTTTGGCTTATAACTGAAAAACTAGCTTATATGATAAAAATGTTTGGTGATAAGCTAGCTGAAATAAAAATTTCAACGAGTTTATTTGAAAAGCTACCCAAAGAAGCTTATCAAATAAGCTCGAGCTTTTTAAAAAAGCTCGTCTTACCAGACGGAGCTTATTTGAATACAGAGATCTTATAAGCTAACCAAATAAGCTATAAACTAGCTTATTTGTCTACCAAACATAGCCGAAAACTAAGTTTAAGTTGCAAAGAATTTATGTCCTTAATAATACAAAAGATCAATTATGATAAAGCACACTCGATATAAGTTTAACTGAAACACATATTAATATTAGGACAATGCGATACACGTATTCAAGAAAAAGCCTAGAGTCTCTACACTTTCGTTTGGCCTAAACTTCTTTTTAGAGCAACACCGGCCTAAACCTTGTCATTCATAAAGCTATAGATAGCAACTTTCTACTTATGTGTTGTTGGAAGGTGGAGGACTAACAGATTAAATTATGTAGCCTATTAATGCTGAGTGGTGCAATAAGAACGCTCCACGAACAATCTTTTTTAGTAAAATTGCAACATAACAAGTTTTTGTATTTACTCATTTTTGCCTTTACCTTGAAAATTGATGTCTGTGCATGAGTACACTACAAATTAAGCATCAGTAACTTCTGACTTGGTCATACAAATATAATTCCTATGCATAAATCTTGGGTGCATGCACACGCAAGCACAAAGGCACACACCCGCACGCATTTATACAATACAGAGTGAGAGTAAGGTGGGAATTTACTGACTAAGTGACAGAATATGGCGAGGAGAAGACACAGGTTTTATTGCCCAAGAAAGTGCAGATAAGAATGTAATCTGGCACATTTACTACAAAGAGAACTTTTCTCTCTTTAATTTATCTTTCGAGCCCTATATAAATTGCCCCCTCACCTTCCTTGTTCCTCATCACCACCACGCTTCAATCTCTTGACTTCTTTTTCCCCAATCCACAATTGTGTTTGTAAACATGAGCAAAGGAGTTATCCTTCGTCTGACCTTTGGGATTATCGGTATTTCAATTTCCTCTCTCTTTTTGCATTAGTTCATTTTCTGAATCATTGCTATAGTTTTATATCCAAATTTCTGCCTCTCTTGCCTTTTTTTAGCCTTTAAATTTAGTTAAAGTTATATTGAGCTGAGTGGAAGTGCTTCTGTTTTACTACAGGAAATGCTGCTGGTTTGTTTCTCTTCTTGTCTCCAGCGTAAGCATTAAGTGTTTACTGTTTAGTGACATTAACTTTCAGTTCAATCTAATCATAAAAATTGGCATTCATCATGCGTATATACATATGCTTAAGATATATTCTCATTGTACATTTTAATTCTGGAAATTAATTACCATAACATTTTGCACATAATTACAGTGTTACATTCAAGAGAATCGTGGCGAAAAAATCCACCGAACAATTCTCTGTCATACCTTATATTATGACTTTGCTCAATTGCTTGCTCGCCGCTTGGTAATATTTTCTTTCCAATTCGCAATAACTATGTTTCCTTTTCTTTTTTCTTTTATTAATAAAGTTCCGTAGTAACATTTTCTCTTTAAAAATAATAACATATATATATATATATATAATGCAGGTATGGCCTTCCTTTTATTACAAAAGACAATTATCTATTGACTGCAATAAATGCGGCTGGGATTGTTATCGAGACATTATATGTGTTTATTTTCTTCATATATTCACCTAAGAAGGAGAAAGGCAGGATTCTAAGGATTCTTGCTTGTGTTATTGCCCTCTTCTCAACCATTGCCTTGGTTTCTATTTTTGCCTTTCACAAAGAGAAGCATAGAAAGTTGATTTGCGGTTTTGCCCTTTCAATATTCTCCATCATAATGTATGCTTCTCCTTTGGCAGTCATGGTAAGATCTTTGTTACCCTATGCAATTACTTCACTCAAAACACCTTTTGAAAGGGAAAACAAAATACGCCAGCAGGCAAAAATGTTTTTCATTCGATACTTTATTTCACGGTATTGGGAGCTGTGATAATTGTTGAGTTTTCCGAGTAGTATGGTTTTTATTTGTTTTCACAAATGAAGAATATTTGTCTGCCATGGTATAACTAAGTTTTGGTGAATTTATTTGCAGAAGGTGGTGATTAAGACCAAGAGTGTGGAGTATATGCCCTTCTTGCTTTCACTGTTTGTGTTCCTGAGTGCTACTTGTTGGCTTATCTATGGATTAATCGGGAAGGACATTTTTATTCTTGTAAGTTTTTTGTTATTAATAGCAACCGTGAGCCTGACTCATGGAGTAGAAGAACATACTTTTTGAACAGAAATACTTGGTTCTGCGATGGTACATCATACGTTTTTTCGAAAAATTAGAATGAAATAAAATCTTTTGCAGGTGCCAAATGGACTCGGGTGTCTGTTTGGGGCAATGCAGCTGAGTTTGTACGCAGTTTACTGCAAAAATAAAGGTGAAACCAAGAAACCAGCCATGGATGGATCCTTGGAGAACGGAGGACCGTCTCTTGATCTTCCGAAGCTACCAAATTAGGAAGTTCACAACCGGGCGAAAGCCATATTCTCTAACCAATTAAGAATATTCTCCTTGTGTTGATCTTTTCTAATCTGTTGCTTCTCTTTTCTGCCCTAAAACTCTCTCTCTAACTTCAATAGCAAACTTGTATCATGTATATTATACTTCTGGTTTTCTGGTTTTGTTTATTGTTGTTTTATGGTATAAGCAAGCTTCTAAAGTATCTTCTCTCTTTTTTGTTTCCTAATTTAGTGTCATTCTCAGAATTTTTTATGCGAATAAAAAAAAAAAAAAAAAAA